CTCAGGTGACTGACTTGGCCATCGAAGAATACCCGTGTCTTTGCCTTGAGAAACTCTTGGGTTGCTTTTGGAGTATGATTGTAATCTCCATTTGCACCATGAAACACTGTCACGATCAGTTTTGGAGCATTTGGTTGAATGCAGAGCAGAGAGTAGAGCCCTGCACACTTCAAAATTTATCCAGCTGCTTCTTTTAGCAGTCACATCACTAATAAAGACCAGTGACCCAGCTCCAGCTGTACATACCTATACTGTAACACTGCTTCCACCATGTTTGACAGATGATGTGGTACACTCATGAGGATCATGAGATGTTTCTGTCCTTCTCCACAGTTTTCTCTTTCCATCATTGTGGTGCAAGGTCCAAAGAATTTTTCAAAACCACATATTTTCTGGCAAAGTCTAATTTGGGCTTCTTGCCCTTGAGTGTAATCAGTAGTTTGCACCTTGTTGTAAACCTCCTGTTTCTATTCACGAAGGCGTCTCTTGATTGTAGTCTTTGATAATGATACACCTACCTCCTCGAGAAAGTTCTCGACTTGCTTAGTTGATGAGTTGAGTGAAGTTGTTTTTGTTAACCATGGAAATAATTCTGTCATCATTCACTGCAGTTGTCTCCTTTGGGCCTTCAGGCATTTCGGTGTTGCTGAAGCAGGCCACTGCATTCATTCGTTATAAGAATGAACCAGATTGTTGATTTGGACACTGCTGAAGTTTTTGCTCTCTCTAAGATGTTTATTTTGTTTTGTTTTTCAGCCTCCCTCACTTGCACAGACATCTCTTTGGGACTCATTTAAAAATACAGTGAAAAATTATAAAATGCAATTTTAACACTTTGAATCAGTTTGAGATATTATGCTTTCTTCACTTGTCATGAAATAACAGGGGAGCAGGCCTCTACTGCTTGTCAGTCAGTTGTCTCATTAATTTTGAACCTCTATGCATAAAAATGACTAATTCCTAAAAACTTAATGCCAATTTCTTTCTAATAACGTGTTGATTGTTTGTTTAAAATAAACCGTGGTGATGTACAGAGGTAAAACCTCAAAAATACAAAGTTATGGAGCTAACTGTATTCAAGGACCTTTTATAACATCACACCTCATCTGAGTGAACTCTGAAATGTTATTTTGGGTTATTTTAAATAAAAATCTATTTGTGCTGTTGGTAGTGATGTGATTTGTATACTGAATTTTTGAGTTTAATGAGGATTTTGTCCCGTTTCAGACCTGCCAGTGACTTTGAATTGGGCCTCGGGTCATTCAGCCTGCTGGAAGAGATCACTAAGGGCCAAGAGTGGGCTAAGTTCCTCAGTCCCAGCCTTTCATCCTCATCAGCAAATCAGAGACCATTAGAGGACCCAATGAGCCAACCCCCAAACCAACTAAATCCTCACAGTAGCACTCCGTCAAATGGGATTTTGAACCAACTTGGCAGTGGGGACAACCAGTGGAGCTTCAGGAGCACAGAGTCATCACGGGCCACAGATTTCAGCATGGCGCAAACATTGCCTAATGCTTTCCCAGCTGCAAGTTCGGACATTTCGGGTGGAAAACTACATCTGACTGACCCTTCAGAAGCAATGGAAGATGGTCACAACTACCCACATATGCAGTCTGGAGCGAGCAGACTGGAACAGCAAATAAGACCGCCATCATTTGTAGTGGTAAGATATTCATAAACAAAAAATATCTCATGTTCATCCAGTTAATATAAAAAAGAATATCTATATTATCAATATGACAACTTTGTGATTCTCCCATTCTCTCTTGTCCTTTGCAGTCTACAAAAAATCCACTTAACAAGGCGTTGAAGAGCCGAGTCGCCCTCAACAGAAAGAGACAGCATCAGTCAGCTGACAGGAGAGACGACAGGCTTCAAGCCGACAAAATAAGTGATGGAGAGCAGACAAACAGAGGTCAGAACAGCTTAATACTCTGTCCAACAGCAACATTACTGATCAGTTATTATTAAAGAGTTTTTATTGTTTGAGCCATTTAATTTGGCGGCTGTTCAGGAAATCAAGTTGTCTCTTTTGTTTTACAGAAGGGGATATGTCTTCACTGAATCCTACGAGCAGCCAGATGATGGTTGAAACAGGAGAGTCAGAGCACGAGAACGTAATACCCTTATACACCCTAAACTCTCATTCAGCCTCTCTCTCCCCAACTGCTTTTAATCCTTTGGCTCGAGCGCCCCATGGTGTCCTCAAATACCCCGTATCCCCAGAGTCGGAGTCCTCAATGGAGACAGTGACTAAAAGGGTAAGATAGTGTGTATCACAGCGCCTCCTTGTGGTTGGAAATTTTAAAATGTCAACATCCACAAAGTTTCTCAAATCAGTAATGACTCGCATGTTAATTTTATAAAGGATTTAAATAGGCTACTTTTTTGGTTTTTTGTACACAAAAAAAATAAAATTAATGGAATGATTTGAAAAAACTTGAGGAAATCATTCAGTCTCTGTAATATTTAATCAGATGCTAAATTCTCTGTAACTTTTTTGTGTTTCGCGCTTCTTTCTCGGTTCAGAGGAGAGTGGAGGAGAACCGCCGGGTTCGTTTTGCGGAGGAAGTGGTGGCCATAGAATCTCCAGACATGGATCTGGACGCTTCAGACTTGGAGGATGACTCAGCAGCTACAGATGAGGACTCGGTGACAGAGCAGGAGTGTGAAGTGCATCCGGTAGCGGCAGGGGAGGAGGCACCGGCCCGGCGGACAGCCCTCCCTGCGTGGATACTGGCTCTGAAGAGGAAGAACACAAACAAGAAGCGCAGATAGTGACTGTAAAACTGTCAGCGTGCTGCGTTCATTCTCACGGACTTTGCGTTCTATAAATTAAACGAATAAACTTAAGGGGATACAGTTTGTCTCAAGAGCAGGTTGCTCTGCTTTGAAAACATTTTTTTTGAATGTGACAGTATTTCAAAAAGTCATATCTGACCAGTAGTAGGCCTGGTGTGGATACGTAATCTCTTTTTCCCTCATTTATTTTCTGAAATGTTTTGATTTTAAGATGCAATAAGGGAAATAAATACTATATTGGGATATACATATATATATATTTATATTTTCTGCAGTGCACACAGAAAGCTTTATAAGTGGATGTTTTTGTCTTTCTTTTTCTTATTGTTCCTGCTTTATTAAGCAAAGTTTGAGCAGAGGTTAAAGACTTTTCCAGTTGCACTAGTGATCCAAACTGAGGACTATGCTGCAGTAACCCAACAGCTGAATGTGCTGAAAGCATTTTGTTGATTCAGATGTTCCTCCTTGTGCTCCTTCAGCCTTACACATGACAGCAATCTGCTGTCTGCGTCACTCACTTACTGTACTCACCACCCCACCCCACACTCCATATCCTGTCTCAGGGTAATGGCTCCCAGTCCAGCCATCATAGAGAATAATCCCAAAGGAGGAAAGATGTCTGAGCTGGAGTGGTCAGTGGTTTCTGATCAGCTGCTCCTCTCTATTCAATACCACCATTTGATTTTGTAGAGATGGAGACAAGCACCTGAGCCTTGAGTTCACTTATTCTAGTGAGAAAGCATCGACTTTGTATAAAAGATGAATGTAGCCACTAGTTTTTAAGCCTTATTTAAACAGCACAGTCCCGTCCTATTTAAACCCTGAGCCAGGGCTGGAGCTGACCGAGGAACCAAGGACACTGCACACTCATATGGTAACACACTGTCAATCAAAAGGTAACTCCTCCATAAATCGAACCCCGCTTTTTCTACATGTGATCACTGTTTGTGAAATGAACATCATTCTTTCTTGAATAAGACTTAAAACTAGCAGCTGTGACCATAAAATCATCAGGAGAATGTGAGAAGTACGTTTGTTTTTCACAGGTTGGTATTTAAACAGTTCGTTTTCACAGCCAGAAACTGCTTTTATCTTTTATATACTGTGTATACAGAGTGAATCATCGTCTCACATGAACCTCTGTGAATTTTTTTAACAGCTGAGGCCGTTTTATTTCTTTTTAGATGTAGCAACATGAGAGGCTGTGCAGTATTGAGACAAAAAATAAAGCGTCAGAGCTTTAGTTATCTGTCTTCTTTGGTAGGGTTAGACGAGAATTTCAATGCCACTTTATTATTTGTGCCTTTTATTTCTTTTACAGAATAAACAAATAAAATAAATTTATACAGTCATGTGAAAAAGGAAGTGCATTTTTCAATTTTAGCGTTTTATGTATCCGGGCATAATGGTAAATCATCTGGTCCACAGTAGGTTCAAAAATTGGGTAAATACAAGCTGAAATGAAGAACATAGATGACATATACTGTGTCATTTTTTATTTAAGAGGAGAGGTTTTGGCAGTTTGCTGGTCTGGAGCCTTAAGGTGAGTATTAACATGCTAAGGATGACGCACATCAACAATGACTGTAGAGAGTGAGTTGTTGCTATCCATCAATTTAGGAAGCTTCATCAGGCCCATTTTTGTATAGTGAGAAAGACTATTCACGAGTGGAAAGTCACCTGCCAATCTGTGGGAGGGCACATCCCAGAAAATTCACCTTGGGTCAAACTGTGCTCAGAGACACTCAGACTCTATAGCCCTCAGTTAGCATGTAACATATTAAATGCTAAAGTTCATGATAATGCAATTAGAAAAAGACTGAACAAATTTGGAAAGGTTGCCAAGAGAAAGTGTCTCCTCTATAAAAGAACATGGCAGCACAGTTTAGGTTTGCATCTGAAGAAACAACAAGACTGAAGTTTAGAGAAAAATCAACAAAGTAAATCTGCACAAACACCTCATGCTTGTGCAGCTATGCTGGAAAAGTTGAGATAACACCTATAACGCTGACTGGCAAATACACCCCCCTCTCATCTCATCCTGCCCACATTATTCAATGCTAATAATTATATTCAACAGGTGGCAGGTTGGTGCAGTGGGCAGGGGCCTTTCTGTGGAGTTTGGATGTTCTCCGTGTCCCTTGTGTTTCTGCTCCAACTTCCTCCCACAGTACAAAGACCTGGCATGTTAGGCTACTTGGTAATTCTAAAAAGGCCATGGATGTGTGAGAGATAGGTCCTTAAAATTATGGGATACACTGAATCATTTTGTGTATTTTTCATGTACAGAGTGCTTCGTGGTGTATTGTATCATATTCTATGATTTCCATTACATGCATTATACTAACTTGTGTTATCATTTAAGTACATCAAAGCTTCACACTAACTGCTGTTGTTTCCTCTGTGGCCTCCCCTGACAGATATCCTTTCTCATAAATCACTGTCAGCACCATTAAGAAGCTCTTTAGCTGATCTATTAGTGTCCTGGTAGTGAAGAGTGGGTGGGCACAGACGGATGACGGGAAAATGAAAATATGAAAATCTGTGAGAAAAGCAGAAGAATAATCTTTTTTTCAATTGCATAAACAAAAAAATGACTAAAAATAGAGAATAAGAATCACTATAATAGTCCATTAATCTGCACAGTAACTGTTGCATGAGTGTGCAATATCCACCAGATGTGGACTAATAATGGACCATTTGTAAACCTTAAGATCACACACACACACACACACACACACACACACACAAAAACCAGGATTTGCTGTATCTCTACACCACTTAGAGACTTGGACACTTTTACTTCAGACAAAAGAACAGACTGTGTTTGTGCGTACATGACAACAAAGAAAAATACCCCAAAGTCTTATTCAAATAATTTATTCTCAACAGTGTTTCAGTATTAGACATATTTTTTCCTATTTGGCTTGAGTCAGGAGGATTTCATCGGCTCCACCTTTCAGCTGACAAACATGAGTTTGACGATTTACATAGTTAACATGATGCTAAATCAAAATGTTTGGAATAAAAATGGATTTTATTACTATTACAAAGAGGCTCTAGTTTGACAGTTATTGTTGTGAGCTACAAGCCCTTACTTCTTATGGAGATGGCAACAACATCGTCCTCCTTTACCCTGTTCCATATACTTGCCGATCTGAAGCTGAATACCTCTTATAATAAGGTAGAAAGGGAAAGGAAAAGAGGAAGGGGAGCCCATGTCTTCACATTGCTGCTGTCGGTTAGAGAGGTTGGTCATAGGTGTTGAGAGAAAGTGCTCCAGAGTCACAGGAGCTCTTCATGCATTTGAGTGACAGCTGGCTCCCTGGACTCTGAGCTATGGAAGCTTCTATGTGAGCCTCTGACACCTGCACGGACAAAGCAACAAGGAAAATCTGTGATAAGGTTCTGATAGGTTTTTGGACAAACATGTTGCTGTGCCATGAAAAGCAATACCTCTTCAAACTTTTTGGCTTTGTACTGCGCTGCCCCTTTCAAGAAGTTTAGTAAGATGATGTCACAGAGAACCGCGCCCTGCCACGACAGATACAAAAGATCAATGAGAGCCGAGAGCAACATGAGAACAATAGATTAGGTTGATAAGAATTTCATACCAGTCCAATCGAGGAAAAGGCAGCTACCAAGTTGATCATAGTTGGGATTGTGTTAAACTTTCCTGCCTGAAAGAGATGGAGTCACTTTAGATGGCATGTAATGCACTGTTTCATACACACAGGCTCTCTCCTTAATGTTTAATTTTAAAATAAAGTACTATTCCTTAATGATTTTCTACACTATTATAACTGAAATGTATATTTAAAGATGGTGATTTATTTTCTAAACATTTACAGTCCGGGATTTAAAAGTCATATTTTTACACTTGGCTAGTATGCTTATTTTCTGCTCTGGTGAGAGAGGACTGATCGTGCTCTGTGCCAGCAGTTTAGTCTTGGAAACATCAGCTGAGCTATTTTCAAAGGAATATAGATAACATTCACTCACTGGCTACTTTATTAGATACACGTGTTCATCTGCTCATTAATTCAAATATTTTATCCACCAATGGCATGGCAGCAGCTTTACTCAATAATAACTCAAATAACTACTTGTTAGAAGGTACACAGAAGAGCATCTGTGAAAGTGCAACACATTGACCCTACAGCAGTAGAAGACCACACTAGGTGTCACTCATGCCAACTAAGAACGGAAAATCGAGGCTATAACCCACACAGGCTCACCAAAATTGGACAATAGAAACTTGGAAAAACATCACCTGGTTTGTTCTTGAATCTTGATATCTGCCCTAACATTTGAAGGGTAGTGTCAGAATTTGGTATAAACAACATGAAAGCATGGATGGTGGTGTAATGGTAGCAAAGATATTTTCTTGGCACACGCCTTTAGTGCCAACTGGGTATTGTTTATGCCACAGCCTACCAGAATATTGTTGCTGACCATTTTCATCCCTTTATGACCACAATGTACCCATCGTCTAATGACTGCTTCCAGGAGGAAAACACTCTGTGTCATGAAGCTCAGATCATCTCAAACTGGTTTTTGGAACATGACACTGAGCTCACTGTACGCAAACGGCCTTCAAAGTCAACAAATCTTAATTCAGCGCAGCACCTTTAGGATGTTGTGGAATTGGAGATTTGTATCATGGAAATCTGCAGCAACTGTGCGATGCTCATACCAACAGGGACCAAAATCTCCTATGCCATGAAAACAAAAAGGGTGTTGAGCCTGGTGTTAAAAGCATGTACCCGATAAAGTTGTTGGTGAGTATATTTGCTTATGCAATTACTGGAAATTTGGAAGCTTCAAAACTTTTGTGCTGTGTTTAGAAAAACAGCCTATGCGATAGGCTAAGTCTAGAGTCTAAGCTAAGCTAAGCTAGCTCTGTGCTACAATAAGCTAACGTGGTGGTAGTAGGTTTCCCACAATGCTCAGCTCAACAAAATGATTTTAGTTCATGTTAAATTGAGACTTCTGCAAAGTTTCTTGATTTTGTCATGTTTCGGTGTTTTTTTAATTAATAAATGTCACATTTTCTGACAATAAATTACATAAAATGACACATGGAAATTCTTTGTTTTAGCCAGTTGTTATTACACTTTGTCTAATATTAAGTTTGAAGACAACTCACTTTGCCAGTGACCATGACATCAAAACGGATCGCAAAAGCTTTATGAAGAGTCCGAAATTCAGTCCCATTCTCTGTTTTGAAATATTTTGCAAATCTGTATTCAAAGAAGAGAAAAGAGTAACTAAAGACTGATTTTTTAAAAAAAAAAGAAGTAAACTTGAAGAGGAAGAATCATTATCACTACCTGAAGTTGTATCCTTTGGACACAGCATTCTTGGCAAATGGAGCATCAAGTCGTGTGAAGGAGTACTTGGGAATACATTTTTCAATGTTTAAGTCCAGGTTACATTCCCACTGAATGTTTATTCCTATTTCTCCACCCTGAGACAGAAGGATCGGGAAAAGAGAGACACACCTTGAGGTTCAGCACTTAAATATGTAATACCAGCTTTGGCTTTGACGTAAATATGTGTCAAAGCTAAGGCTGGTATTGAAGTGTATGGAATTGGATTGACTTTAGGTCAGAAAGAATTAATGGGAAATACTTCCAAAAATATCTGGCTTTTTGAGCTAAGTGTTATCTTGTGCACTTAATGATGATGGAGGCACTTCAGAAGCTTTGCATAGGAAGGACAAGACCGCTGTCTGTAACTTGAAACACCCTAACAGTGACAAGACCTTCATACAACCTTGTACACTCATGCTTACCCTGCTTAACAGTTCAGTTACATTCTGACCGGTGTAGTTCAGCACATCCCCCACACGAAAGATGGGGCAAAGGGGGTTGTCCTCTGGATGGTATTTACAATTCCTGATTTGATTGGCTGTCATTGTGGGTGGAAAGTTCCCTCTGAGTAAGGAAAATGATTTTATGTTTTTTTTAAAAAGACTCTCATAATATATTGATGTTTTTTAGCTGCTTCGGTTTAGGTTTGTGTGGTTTACCTGGTGACATTAAAAAGAGGGAAACGAATACTGTTTTTGATGAAAATAGTGAAGGTGTTCACATCCATTGGTTCACTGTGGGAGATAAACACAGAGACAAGGGGACAAAGATGACACTTGTGGCTTTCAGTGAGTGAGATGTATTTGTGTGGGATGTGCGTGCACTCTTACATTTTGATGGCATCATTTTCAGCTGGACACCATCCTTGCATCTCACACATGCCATGGGACTCACTGGAGTTTTTAAGGCAAGCACCTGTTATTACACCTGGTGCGTAAGAAAGAAGAGGAAGGAAACATTGTGCTCAGGTAACTGAATGGAGATACTGTTAGCCATAATAATGATCAGTTATACAGTGCTGTGAAGTAGTATTTACCCCAAGTGTTTTTGTACATTTGTCACACACGTTTCAGATCATCAAACACATTTTTATGTCAGACAGTGATAACCCAAGCACATACAAATTGCAGATTGAAAATAATTTCATTTATTAAGGGAAAAAATTATGTGTGAAAAAGTAATTGTCCCACTTAAATCATTAATGTTTTGGAAATCTGAGTTAAGTTTCATTACATCCAGGCCTGATTACTGACCAGACCTACTGAATCAAGAATTTACTTAGATAGAACCTGTCTGACAAAGTGGGCTAGGTCAAAACAGTTCAAGAAGCCACACAACATGCCACGATCTGAAGAAACCTGACTTTGGAAAGGGCTACAAAACAATTTCTAAGGCTTTCGACGCGGAAGAGCCTTTATCCACAGACAGAGAAAACTTGGACAAGCGGTGAAACTTTGCCGGAAATGGCTGGTTGACCGAAATTACTCCAATCGCATCGACGACTCACAAAGAACATCAACCAAAGAACTGCAGGTCTCACTTGCCTCATTTAAGGTCAGAGTTCATGATTCAACAATAAGAAAGGGACTGGGCAAAAATGACATCCATGGAAGAGTAACAATGAGAAAACCCTGCTGACCAGACGATCACAAAGGCTCATCTCAGATTTGCAGAGAAACATCACGATGAGCCTTGAGACTTTTAATCAAATATTCTGTGAGACAAAACTTTAACATCTAGTGCAAAACTAACACGACATTTAATAGAAAGTTCATCATACTAATAGTCAAACACGGTGGTGGTAGCGTGATTGTCTGGGGCTGCTTTGGTAGACTTGCCATAATTGATGCAGTTATGAATTCGGCTCTCTAAAAGAAAATCCTGAAGAAGAATGACCAGCCATCAGTCCATGCCCTGAAGCTCAAGCTCACTTGGGTCATGCAACAGGACAACGATCCAAAAAATAACAGCAAGTCCACCGATGTCCTCTGAATGGCTTAAAAAAAAAAAACAAATGAAGGTTTTGGAGTGGCCTAGTCCCTGTGGCCTAAGTCTGGACTTGAGATGACCATTCATCCTCAATCAGCAAATAAGAGTGGGCCAAAATTCCTCCAGTCCACAAGGACAAGGACTCATTACCAGTTATTGCAAACACTTGAGTGCAATTCTTGCTGCCACAACCACTTATTAGGCTTAGGAGTGAATTACTTTGTCAGACAGGGCCAGGGAGTTTTGGATAAAGTTCACTGCAAATTGTTTGTAAACAATATAAAACTATAAATATTTACCCTGCTTTTTGATTTAGGTTCATACTCTGTGCAGTTGATATTCTTCTAAAATATGCTAAAGGACATGGCACCTGGATTTAAAGACTGAAATATTTAACAATGAGCATTGTCTGACTTTTTGTTACCAATATGTTTCAATATTATAATATTAAAACTGCAAAACATAGGAACACATTTCAATTTTCACCATTTACTACATTGGGTTTAAACAACATCAGGTGGTATAAAGATTCCATCAATAAATCTACAACTTTAACAAAGGCTGGCTCATTCTACTATAAATATATTCTTATATTCAATTAAAGATTATTTGAAGATACAATAATATCACAAACATCTTGGCACATTATTTTGAAGATATTATTTATATTGATACTATTTTTAAGAAGGTTTGTTCCTGGGTATTAAGTGCTACATTCTGCCTTATGTCTCAAAGGTAGATAAAATAAATATATGATTCTTTTTAAACTTCACTTCTACTTTAAAAATATTTTTGTCCCGGTTAAAAGAACAAAGAAAACCTGTTTTTTTTGTTACATAGCGTAATTCATTTCCTCAGTTTTTAGCACCATGCCGTATTTTATTAATTCAATTTTTGGGTTAAAAGATTTTTTCATGATTATTTTTTCATCTAGTATTTACTTACCAGCCAATGCCACAAATCCGATTTAAAGAATATTTAAAGATAAGCAAAGTTACAACACCACAGACTTGACATCAGCACGTTTCTGTTTCTGTTGAAAGTTTCTGTTTAAAATAAATCTGACTCACCGTTGTAAAGGTTGCTGCCGACATACTTCTGGCAATCTTCATCGGAAGAACATCTGAATTTCTTCCCAGTCTAAAAAACAACATAAACACAGACACTTAATGCACGCTAGACAAAATAAGAAACATATAGAAATGTAACAGTGGATGAACAGGAACACATGGACGACTGCTCTGGTGCTTTTCCTACTGAAAAATAAAACTCTAAGATATATTAGTCCAAATATAACTTGAAAAATGTTGCAGTATTACCAGCTGCTATTAATGCACTGTGAGGTCAGTTTTTAATCATCCTGTCTGCCACTGACAGATAACAGGCTGTGTTTAAGAACCTATAGATCTGCCTGTTTACGTTAGAAACATTAAAGAATACATATCAGTGATATTATTAATTGCATTCATCTTATACTGACATGAAGCTGTTTCCATACCAAATGAACAAATGTAACAAATTCCAGAATAGATTTAAAGACTCCCGTTCTTCCCATTCTATATACAGTTTTAGCATTGCCTTGAGAATCGAGTCTCTGCCTGCCATCCAGAGGTAAGCCCCTCCTACCTGGTCACACACACCGTCTCATTACAAAATGGTAAATGGCCTGTATTTGTATAGCGCTTTACTCAGTCCCTAAGGACCCCAAAGCACTTTACACTACATTCAGTCATTCACCCATTCACACACACACATTCACACACTGGTGATGGCAAGCTACATTGTAGCCACGGCCGCCCTGGGGCGCACTGACACCCTACTGCGACACACTGATGACTTCTCCAGGTTATACTCTGCCTAAGAGGAATGGATGGATGGACCATACTGCCAACACTACATTGAGAAGGAGTTAATTGCTCAAGGTGTGCCCTCTGCCCTTCAGCTCATTACTGCATCCTACTGCCACTCACAGGTAGGAGTAGAATGTAATTTGATGTCAGTGCAAAAGAGACTAAAACTTTAATTAGATTTGTCAGAAAAAAATAAGTGTAGTCATAAATCTTTACTGATATATATGACCATGTTTTTGCTGTAGGGCTTTCAGTGAATTAGCTGAAGACTTCCTGTTGATTCTCTGGAGACCAAAAACACCCCGTACGTATAAATGCCAGGCAGATATCTGCTGGAATATCAGTTTGCAATAATATTGATACTGATATGTTGACCAAAATTCTGCAATTTGGTTTCCTTGTTCTTTTAAAATATGCAATATTTTGACGTATTTTATGCTGCCTAGGAATAAGAAGCCATAGGTGGTTACAATAAAACCAGCAAGCCTTAAAATCGACTGAAAATTAATGGTAAAATGGTAAAACGTGACAAAAGCATGCGCTTGAATGTGTACTCACCTCTGTACATCGTCCTTGGAACTGATTTTCAGTGACGATGAGTTTGGTGATGATGCAGAACATGCCTGAACCCTAAAACAACAACTGAATGCTTATGATATGCTTTGTGTTTATTTATTACTACACATATGAGACTGGGCAGAAAGCTTGCTCATCATAAAAGTTCTTTTAAAAACACTTTCAACTGCAGCATCTTAACTGCCAACATTGTTAATAACTCATAGAAAACTACAAAGTTTAAATATGTCATGTTATCATCAGGTCACTCACCTGAGGGGGCGACACGTAATCAGCCACGTCCATCACACGATTCTGATAGTTCTCATTTTGGTTTTGGTTTTGTAGATAACCAAAGCCTTTGACTTTAGTCATCACGGAGGACTCAATGTTGGTGTCACTTGACTGATAAGCTTTCTCATGGATGAAGACCCAGCTGCATGACACGGATCAGTGAAAGAAATATTCCTTTTTGTAATTTAGCTAAGGAAAACTCAATTTACACCCATTATTACACACATTATTACACTCTGAAAAAAACTCAAAAGAAAACTACAGATCACTGACCCGACAAAATAGGTGATGATGAGCAGCTGTACAATCCGGTTGATGATACCCACAGACCAGCTCTTTACCACCACAGATTTGGTGGTCTCGTAGGTGAAGAAATTAGTCAAGAACCCCCACAAAACGAAGCCCATTGCTGCTCGTCAGTGTGACCCAGGTAGCAATGACTCCCCAACAGGTGCCTTCTTGGAAACTTGATGGTAAATCTTTCACAATACAGCTGTCCGTTCTGGTTCAAATAAAGAAATAAGATCCTAATCTTCACCCTGCTTGTATCATCTCTCAGTCTGGCCTGTGTTTATCGCCTTCCTTGCATGCTTAGTTTTGTTGGTTTATGACACAAATTGGACCTCCCCCTTTCTTGACACAAACGAGTGGGAGGAAAATGTCTCCTCTGTCCCTCCCGCTGTCTCTTTCTTCTCCACTAATCCCCATCCCCAAACACACTAACCATGCACAGACAAAAGCACAATTAGACTGAGGCAGTAATCGATACCCCATATGTCCACTGTGATTTGCTCACAGCATGCTTTCAGTAATAATGTAATAATTTTCGTCTTTCATGTGTTAGTGTCTGACTCAGAAGGAATCTATCACTCACACTTTCCATTTCACTTTTAGTAACTTTAGTAATTTTATTAGCAGCATGAAGAAAAAAAATGATAAAATTGGATGCTTTAGTGGTTTAGTTCATGAGAATAAAATTTTGCAGACATTAGAATAAACCAGACAGAAAGCATCAGAAGGCAGATTTTATCTGTTATTTAGTAACAGATGTTATATTGCAGCAGAGATAACCTCCTGGTTGGCTGGGGCCTGTCTGTTTGGATTTTGCATGTGTCTGTTTCTTTGATTTCCCATTGTTAAGTTTCTTCCTTCCACAGTTAATACTGGCTGATGTACATCTTACCTAATACTAGCTGGGATATGTGGTATGTTAGAAAAATGAGCGCTGTAATGGATATGGTAGAAATAAACAGTAAATATAAGGTCAGACAGAACAGTGAATGGCATGCAGGATATGTTTAGCTGGCCAGGTTCACCCTTTATATGTATAATCACTTTTAAATTATATAGAAAATTGGTTGTTTTTTGTTTTATAGCTAGCACTAAGTTATACAAAGATCAGAGTATTTGTCAGTTGATAGCGAATAAAATTTACAGTGAAAAATAACAAATAGTTTTGAGGAGTGTATTATGACTTTCTTTTTAAAACTGGCCCCTTCTTAAGAATTAGTTATGACTAATTAAAAAAAGAAAATTTTCAGTGGCCTGAGCGATTCTCAGTGTGTGGAAGGAACCATCTTCTCCTAAATATAACAGGTGGGAAGAAAATATGCTGAAAATGGTGTCATATGAAAAAGTCTTGGCTAGGATTAATCATGGGGACGAGGTTTTGGCTGAGATTGATGGATCTTATTTTGCAGTGCAATTATCTTTTGTTAAATGTTATGTTTGCTGTGTTGTAGGTTTGTTTAGGCACTCGATAACTGAATAACTTAAGAATTTGATTTTTTTACCCTTTTTTTGTGTGTGTATTGATATTTAATAACTATTGATAATTGACCCAAAATGCAAATGTGAATTAACCATGGGATTGGAAGCTGTATTTTTTGTTTTGTTTTGTTAAATGTTAAAAACAAATAAAGACTTCAATTACAAAAGAAAGAAAAAAAGAAAAATTTTTATGAGAAAAATCATAGACTTCTTCTAATTCACCAACAAAAAGGAGAGCCTTTAACATAGGCAGTTAACAGAAGTCCAAGACTATTTGTACACAAAGGAGGGAAATGAGACACAGGTGAAGACTATCTGGTCAAACAGGGGAGACAGGCAGGAATAATAACTAACACAAGAAATGAAAGGAAACAAACCTTCAAAGTAAAAAACAGGAAGTAACCTGAAGACAAACACTAAGCACCGAGACAAGAAGAACACATTAACACGAGACAGAGTTACTATAATTTGTCCTCATTTCTTCATGGTCTGTGATGAACAAGTGGTGCTGCTGATTGTTTATTGATTGTTCATCTTTAAATAGAAGAGATGACTATGTTTGCTTTTAGCCACACAGAGAGGAAGGACCTTCCGTTCTTTAACTAAACAAGAAAGCCTGAGTGGAGGAAAGTTGTTTGTACTTTCATATAAGTGGCTGTGAAAAACTTCTGGAAATGTCATCATTTAAAATGAAACCACTGGGGGAAATCTTAATGTTCAATATGTCCCCATTATATGCAATTTTGTCACCTTTCTGCACATCAGTGGCATAGAAAAAAAGCAATGTGCTTCCATACTTACAGATGACGCCTCAATAACAGCACTGCAACAAATTACAAAGGGCGGTATTACTGACAAGTGTGCAATAAGTGCGACATATGATACGATCGGTTTTCAATACATTCACAAGGACCAGCAGCATTAGTGCCTTTTACATTAGAGAGATAATGTAATGCAGTGACAGCGCTCTGTGTGTGTGTGTGTCTGTGTGTAGATAGTATGTAATTACTTAAGTGGATCCATTATGCTTGTGGTAGGCTAATGGTGACCTAATACAATGTAAGATACATATAAAAACACACACAAGCATGCGCTGAACATGCAAACAAGATCACAAGCTTTCAATATACATGTAAATGTAATGTTTATACCAGCAGAAAACTGAACACTAAACCCTATTCGTCAGAGTGTAATTTGAACGGGGAGCAGACTGGCGAAAGAGGAAACTGCAGCGGAAAAGATAATTATGTCACAGGAAGGGATGTATGCAAACACTTTCCACTCTGATTTTCTTTGGGCTCCACATTTAGGACATGACTAAACACACCGACACCCCAAGACTGCACGGCACCCAAACACACCACATGAAGAACGTACACAGTTTGTCGTAGTGAGGTGACTCTTTGCCATGAATCTTAGCAGACACATTCATGCTCTCCAGAGGATTTATTCTACCGACTTGGAATATAATCATATTCATGGTCAAAGAAGTCACATGCAATATGAAGTACGTGTTTTCCATTCAAACTTAAACATCTATTCATCAAATGCGTTGCAAAGTGAATAGAAATTATTGGAATATTCTACTAGTTCATCCTTTAAATTTAATCTAGTCAAAGAATGACTGAATCAATTTCAGCCCACGCTTCCTGAAATCCTACCACAAATTAAATTAGTATAAAAGCCACTTCTTATGTAATATAAGTTTAAGCTGTTCCCACAATAGCTCAATAGGATTATGATGCAGTGCAGGTCATCATAGACTCAATACCTTACTTCTTTCACGCTCTAAAAAGTTCTTCTAATACTTTGGTGCTTTGATTCATGGTTAAGGTGCAGGAGGAAAACACACAAACTTTAAGGGAAGAACCTGAAAATAACAAGTCAGTTAATCCTCACAGATATCAGTGCATCCAGTTAGGAAGCATGTGCCACATGTGCAGTGTGATTTGAATTGACACGTGTAGCATAATTGGCTACAAATTACTAAAATTGTAAGGCAGGGGTGGGCAACTCCAGGCCTCGAGGGCCGGTGTCCCTGCAGGTTTTAGATGTGTCCTTGAACCAACACAGCTGATTTAAATGGCTAAACGACCTCCTCAACATGTCCTGAAGTTCTCCAGAGGCCTGGTAACGAACTAATCATGTGATTCAGGTGTGCTGACCCAAGGTGAGATCTAAAACCTGCAGGACATTGGCCCTCAAGGCCTGGAGTTCCCCACCCCTGTTGTAAGGTATGACTCAAATGCCAATCTATGGATGCATTCCTTGTAAAAACCCAAAGACTGTTAACAGACAGAAGAACAACTGAAATCACAGTGACATAACAGAGAGTAAAGGAGTATAAAAGGACAATCACACAAGACAAAAAGAACAAACCTCAGCTTTTTAATTCATATTGTGTTTACTTATTAAGAGAGCTGGAAAGGGTGCATTCAAAAAAATTAATCAAAGGAAACCAAATTAAAACAATAAAACTGAAAGCTCTGCCTAGTTGCAGCTTCACAGAGCCACTGTGCAACACCTCGGGTTTCACATGATGATAACAAATATCAAATGATAACAAATATCCAAGGCTATTCTAAGGATATGTGATCAGTACTACAGGATGTGGGACGAGTACCTTATTGTCAAAAGCCACATTAAGTGGAGATGAACTTTAGAGCTGGTATCGTTTGGCTCTTAAAAACCACTCTTCAAACCACCTTGTACTTAGGCTTCAGCAAATTGCTAAAACCACTGTCTCTTCAGCTTTGACTAGGGTAGCCAGTTAACACACACTCTCAAACCACCCCGCCTGGTCAAGCGAGCAAAAGTGTAGGTCCTATGGGAGTATCTTAACAGCTTAAGAGGTTTGGTTTTCATTCTGTTCCTAATGTGTTGAAAAATTATACTAACATATGCTGATCATATTAATTTCTTCAAGGATTTTTGGACCACATGGCTGAGTTTTTCTGGAGCTATTTTCATTTGCAGAGTTAATCACATGTAGCTCAATTGTCACTAAGATACATGTTTAATTCTGCTTTCTGTGAGCCCTGTATAGACTTCTGAGTGATGCTGATTTGCATATAATTTCTTTAGTAACTACACTGTGGAGGGATGTTTTTAAAGTATTTCATAGTTCACATAGATAAGAATTTCCCCACAAGATCAGACAACAGCCACTAGTACGGGTTGGGCACCCATTTGACTTCAGGACTGCTTTAATTCTTCGTGGCATAGATTCAAGAAGACGCTAGAAACATTCTTCAGAGATTTTGGTCCATATTGAAATGACAGCAGTCGCTGTTTGTTGCACTTGTGAATCTCCCGTTACACCAAATCCCAAAAGTGTCCTGGTCACTGTGGAGGTCAATTGAGTATGAGTATAGTTTGCTGTGTTGTGCGTTCAGAGGTGCCCTTTTCCATACCTTGGTGGTTGTTTAACATGTGTATTTGCCTTCCTACCAGCTCAAAGCAGTCTGGACATTCTTCTCTGAACTCAACAAAGTATTTTCACTCAGAAATCTACTGCTTACTGGACATTTTCTCTTCTCTGACCAGTCTGTCAACCCCAGAGATGGCTGTGGGGGAAAATCTCAGATCAGCAGTTTCTGAAATACTCAGACCAGCCTGTCTGGCAGTAACAAGCATGCCATGTTCAAAGTCACTTAAAATGACCTTTCTTCCTCATTCTGCTCAGTTTGAACTTCAGCATCCAGTCACAACCATGTCTACATTTAGACTGCATTGCCAATCATGATTGAGTGGCTGCCATCTGATTTCTTATATTTCTCCTATACTGGCTTCTCTTTGTTGGCTCCCTGTTAAATCAAATTTAAAGAATCAAATTTAAAATCCTGCTCCTCACATACAAGGTCTTGAATAATCAACCGATCCTATCTTAATGAACTTATAGTACCGCATCACCCCATTAAAGCACTTTGCTCTCAGACTGCTGGTTTACTTGTGGCTCCTAAAATATCTAAAAGCAGAACGCCCCTCGTCTGTCAAACCAGCTTCCAGACACTCTCTCTACTTTTAAGATTAGACTTATAACTCAAGCATATAGTTAGGGCTCCTCTCTTAGTTACACTGCAGTAGGTCTAGGCTGCTGGGGGATCCCCATGATGCATTGAGTATTACGTCTTCAGTTACCCTTCTCACTCACATTTTTGGTTTGTCAACATGTGTTAACCTCTCTGCCTTTATTCATTAGTTAATGTTAATCTCTGTCCCCCTTTCCACAGCATGTCTTTGTCCTGTGTTCCTCCCCTCACCCCCAACTGGTGGTAGCAGATGGGAACTCCTCCCTCAGCCTGGTTCTGCTGGAGGTTTCTTCCTGTTAAAAGGGAGTTTTTCCTTCCCACGCGGTTTTCTTTGTATTATTGTAGGGTCTTTACCTTAAAATATAAAGCGCTTTGAGGAAACTGCTGTTGTGATTTAGCGCTAAATAAACAAAACTGAATTTAACTGATTGGCTGAAACGGTGTATGTAAAGAAACTTTTAAACATTCTGAACAATGAATGAATGTTTACATGTTGTAAATAACACTAAATGGACCACATTCATTAAATGTGCTTTACAAGCTACTTTACACGCAAACGGCAGCAAGCAATCTCTCAAGGTGACCGTTTGACCATCAGTTCAGAATCTTTTTCCATGAGGATCAAAGCACCACCAACTGAGTTTTTATTGAAAATGATTCATTTATTTATTTTGGCCTGAAAACATGACACTGGAAAAGTCAAAGAAATTCCCGTACATAAATTTTGCATCTGCTAACTAACAACCCCTGCAATCATCGCGCTATGTAACTAAAACATATATGCCCACTGGTTTGATGGAAAACCCTTCAGTATTTCCAAAAGGTATGCCAGCTCATCATCAAACTACTCAAATATCATTACATGGTTGAAGAGTCAGTCACAAAAATGTGTTTGTACTCATAAAACGAACCACGAAGAAGCAAATACAACTCAAGTCTGTTAATTTGTCCGTCAGTGTGGTATCAGCAGAGAGAGTATAAACGCTTGGTCCTTGGTGTGTGTGTGTGTATACGAGGTGGAAAAGTGTGTGTCTTCAGTCAGAGTCTTCCTCGGAGCTTGCAGGTGTTGACACCGCCTCTTCTTCTTCCTCTTCGTCTGATTCCTGTTTAGAAAAAAGAAGGAAGAACTCAGTGTTTACAATCATGTCAGAACATGAAGGAGTGCTTTAGTCTAAATGAAGCAGTTTCACTATGTTTACATCAACAATTTCCATTGATTTAATGCGCAACGCTCAAGTTCTCTGATTGCTCTCTGCATCTGTGTTATAGAGAAGCGAATAAAGCACATTTCTTTACAGTTAACTCAAACTGCAGGCAAAATCTCAACTAAACAGGAGAAAGCAAGTCATCAAACACTGCCTCGTAGCTCTATCGCAAATATATTCTAACAGAAACTGCAAATATACACAGACATGTTCAAGAAAATTCTTAGTCTCCTCATTACTGTTTTCTTTGCATTTGGTTGAAAATGCAATATAGTGATACACAAGATAACTGGAGCTTTCATTCTCACACTCATTAGCTCTCTATTGCCTTCCCTCTCTCCTACCTGCCATCTCTTTAGTAAGCGGGGTGCTTCAGTTCCAGGTTTTCCCTGATACACTTCGTCCCGCAGCTGTCCCTCAATCAGCTAACGGGATTTAAAGGTTTCTCCTCCTGAAGAAAATGTCTACTTCTCACTGAGCAGCCATCAGTGTTTTGACTTTTAGCTAGATCAAACATAGTTTCCATCGCATTGTGGTTTCTGATTAGGTAAAAGAAACTAAAAGTCATCCTACATCATTCAATAAGAAAGAGTCTGAGTCTGTTCTGTCTGATGACGGCATTTACAGTCACTGGATTTACCTTCTTCCTCTTGGACTTGCTCTTGTGGTCAGAGTCTGATGAACTCTCCTCGCTGGTCTCGATGAACTCTCGGCTCTTGAAGCTGTCGTTTCCTCCCCGCTCCCTGTCCTTGTCTGCTCCGGCAGACTTCCTTTTCTTGTCGTCCTTTTTGCCTCCAGACTTTTTACTCTCCCTAATGGGTGAAAAGTGGAAGAAAATATAACAAATTTAGCCATTTTTCTGTATCAAGACTTCAAAAAAACCCAAAGAGTTGACTTATTGTGTTGCAGGCCTTACTTCCTGGGGCTGGAAGTTGCTCCTCCGCTCTCTTTGTATTCTTTCTTTGCTTTATCATACTGTTTTTTCGCCTCGCCTGCCTTTGCTTCCCATTCCTACAGAAAACATTCTTTAGAGGTTTCTCTACACATTTATTCTGGTTTATTAACATACTTAAGTGGACAATAGATGCATTTTATTCATGTGTATTTAAACTTTTTTCTTTTTTTGTTAAAAAAACAAAACTAAAGCAATTTCTCTTAACCCTCACCTGCTTCTCATCTTTGCTCAGCTGTCTCCACATCTCTCCCGCCTTCTTAGAGATCTCTGTGATGGAGATGCCGGGGTTGTCCGACTTGATTCGCTCACGGCTGGAGTTGAGCCAAAGCATATACGCACTCATTGGTCTCTTGGGTCCCCCAGCATCCTTCTGCTTCTTCTGCTCACATTGAAGATAAAAAGGAATTGAGTAAAGAAATGTTTGAAACTGCACACCTTTATGTACAGTGTCTATTGTGATGTTTGGTGGCTTATTTTAGCCCTTCTCTCGCCTCTTTTCGTGGCTTTCTCTCTTTTTTCTCCTTCACCACTTTGGCTTTTTTGGCCTTTTTCTTCTTTGCACTCTCATCTTCGCTCTCCTCTCCTCCTTCACTGCTGTCACTTGCTGAGGCATTGCTGTCATACCTGATTGAAGACAAGGAGACGCCAGTAGTGTTAATAAATGTTAATATGCTATCATATCATCCAACTATGTGTTAGGAGAGTCACGTACTCTTCTGCAATCTCTTCATCTTCCTCTCCAGGGTTGAAAGACTCATCTGAAGAGAAACAAGAAAGAAAAAAAAAATCACTATCGAACGTTCCCCATCTTCTGAGTATGCTCGCTATCCTGTCATATAGGCAGTCATTACTCACCACTTTCACCGTCTGATTCGTCGCTGTCGTTGCCCTCCTCCCTGATCTTGCCCTCAGCCTTCATCCTTTCCAAGTAAGCATCGTGTTGGTCATCATCTGAGTCGCTGTATTCATCAATGTTGCCCTTCATGCCCTGGAAATACACTACAGGGTCAAAAAACAAAACAAACAGACAAAAAACAAAAAACACAGTACCCACGAGCCTCTACCTACTCTGAGATAAAGTTAGCCACCTTTTCCTTATTGCTTAGTTCATTAGCAAAAAACAGAAAAGAAAGAAACATCCCACTAGGCATTACAGATATTGCAACTGCTGTTTTTTTCCAGCATGTTTAAAACCGCCAAATATTTAATGTACAGTGCTATTAAATCAGCCCGACACATGACTGCAACTTAACACATCACTTTGGCACTTTTTGCTAAATAAATAACTTAATTATCAGAAGTAATTTTAGCTGATCGCATTTCTGTCACAAAGAGAATATAATGCAGGTTTAAAGGTTTAATCTGTGGGGCAAGCTAGCTTATTAAGAACAGGATATGGGAAGAAAAACAGAAAATTTTTAGTTTTTATGCCAACTTCTTTTGATTTCCTCTCTAGTTCTGCTGTTTTTACACATTTCATGGTTTGGGAAAATGAAGCCGCTGCAGAAGTGCCTAGAAACCTGCATTATTTGTGATGGCCACCAGAGGGCGATAGCTGGGGGGGGGGAAGCGCACACATACAATAAAGATTTGAGATCCTATAGCAGCCTATGCGAAAACAGCTTTTTGACTCAACTTTTAACACATTTTGCGAAATCTTCTTCACACCGTAGGAAATTGTGTTTAAAAATACCCTTAAAAAAAAAAAAAAAGCAGTGTGTTTTTGAAGGTGTGGCTACCTTTTGACTGGCAGGTCAAATGCCTCTTTTCCACTAGTACCTACTCGGCTGGCTTTTAAAGTTTCCATCAGGTGGTGCACTTGGTACCAGGTACGAAAATGTGATGTCAAAAGACTGCAAGCCCCCGATTGGCCAGTCAATGATGGCATTACTTGATGAGTCATGAAAGTGACTCTTTCAGGAAAGAGAAGAAAAAAAAAAAAAGAAAAGAAGAAGAACTGCCATTTCTGAAACTCTGCAATGAGGTAAACGGCTGCACAAAAATAAACACCGTGGTCCTCGAGTCTGAAACCCCCCCACAATGGAGCAAAAGGTATACTATCACCCCTAAGTCCTCCATTATTGTGTCGTGTTTGTGTCATATATAAATAGTGTTGCAGAGTTTCGGACGCGTTGCTATAATGACCACAATACTGCGATGGCACTCAACTGTAATGGGAAAAAACCCCACCAAAACAGAGTAGAGTGGAGTCAAGTCGGTACTTGTGGAAAAAAGGCACACAGTGTCACAAAGATCCACCACAAAATACCCAGCTTTAAGCTTTAAGATGTGACTTCAGAAAACAATGGGTGATGTCATGGTGGCCATGCTCATCTTATCTAGAATTTTAGGTGGTTCAGGCCTTTTTTGGTCCATTTCTGAGGTCTTCAAACTGCTGGATGGACAAAAATTTAGTTTGCCAGGACATGGAAAGGGTTAACATGAGGCAGAACCATTGGACACTGTGATTCTAATCAATTGAATAACTCATGTTTGCATATAAAGTGAAGTATAAGACCACACAAAATCTTAGCTTAGCATCTTCTTCTTTAGCTTGAGGCTCGCTATGCTGTAATGGCAACCTGAAAATAAAATTCAAACTATTTTCTCCTTCTCCATCTGCACGCATCCAAGTCCACCAGTCGATGGACAAACAGGGAGGCTGCTACTCGAACACCAACAGGAATTAAAGAGGAGCTCCATTAATTTTCATTGACCTCTGCTGACCCCATCACCACAGAAACAGATGGGACGGCCTCGTTGAAAGGAGCTCATATATGTCAAAGACCATTGTAGGTAATGCAATCAGCGTCGCCTTTGTAAGGCAGCAGTCTTGATGACAATTGTGTTCAGTGTTAAAGCACACCAAAAGCCCCCAGGCCACACATTAGTCAGCACAATGCAAAAACACACAGAACGCGCGCACACACACACCAACCCAAAGAGGTATTGGTCAGCACTCCCTCACCTCCATGTCCCATGATTAGTCATAAATCATTCAAAATATCTCAGGTTCAACAGCAACCGTATTGGTAATGTCAAACCAAATCAAGATCATTGGACGCCATCCTCAGAACACGCACACACACACCAGCAGCACGCCATGCAAGCAGGAAATCACTCCAGACCAATAAAATCAAATGCCTAATCCACACGTGACGCCCATGACCATACCCACCTTCTTCTACAGGTGTACAAGGACAAACACAAAGGAGAAGGGCAACAAGCATCAATACCGGGGATAGAAATATGATCAAACTTAATGTACAAACTGAGAGGTGTTTCAGTGACTTGTGCATTACCTCTTTGAAACCTCTGTTCTTGATGTTGAGCTTCTTAGCATTAACAAAGTCAAAAAGTTTGCCGTACTCCTCTCTAGAAGGGAAAGAGACAAAGTAGGAGTTATTTATTTTAAATTAATTAGAACGGCTTAACAATATGATCAAAAACCAAATGTCTCACAAGCCTCAATTCAGCATCTAAAACTGCAGAGCTTCCCCCTGCCCTGCAATGGGATGGATCTGAAGCTGAACGTCCTTAAAATAAAAGAACTCATAATGGACTTCAGGAGGCACAGACAGGTCCACTCCCCTCTGATTATAAATGGAGAACGGGTGGAATTTGTCTCCACCTTTAGGTTTATGGGCACTCACGCCAATCTTATCTGGACCCACAACACAAACGCGGTGGTAAAGAAGGCCCAACAGCGGTCCTGAGGAAGAATAACTTGGACCAGAAGCTGCTGCAAATTTTCTGAATTTCAGAAGTCATGTTGTTTAGACCCTGTAGCAAAAGCAGCACCCACTGTGTTGACCTTTCCAATCTGCTCCCATATGAGAAATGCATTATCACCAATTTAAATGTGAAAACGGTTCCTTCTCTGAAGTTCGATTCTCATTTGAATATACTACTGTCAAAATCAAGCCTCAGCTGTCCAAATGCAATCTTGAAACATTAACATGCTTTTACAACATATTGTCTGGTTTTGATTACGGCAATGCAATGCACATGTCTCCATTTCTCGACTACAGCTGGAGTAAAATGCTACCGCTTGATTTTTTAAATCAGATTAAAGCAAGTAAGAGCACATAAGCCCAATTTCAGGCCATTTACAAATCGATTTTAAAACCCTTTCATTTGTTTTTAAGTCGCTTAATGGTGGTGCCCCATTGTTTCTTTTTCTGATCCAGCCATATGTCACACTGGTTCTCTCAGGTCAGTAGACCAGCAAACCTGTGGTTTGCCATTGCACATCAAGCAGGCTCCTTTTCTTGTTGTTTTTAAATCCCTTAAAAGCACACTTTTACTCCCTGGCTTTGAACCCAGTGTGAGATGTTGACTGTGATTTTAAGTTATATTTTATCCATCCATCCATCCATTCGCTCGCTTCCGCTTATCCTTTTCAGGGTCGCGGGGGGCACTGGAGCCTATCCCAGCTGTCATAGGGCGAGAGGTATTCACACCTAGTGGCAATTTGGATTATCCAATTAACCTATCCCCACAAGCTACATGTCTTTGGACGGTGGGAGGAAGCCGGAGTACCCGGAGAGAACCCACGCAAACACGGGGAGAACATGCAAACTCCACACAGAAAGACCCCGGCCTGATGGTGGAATTGAACTCAGGACCTTCTTGCTGTGCGGCAACAGTGCTAACCACCTTGCCACCGTGTTATATTTTATGTACTCCTTTATTGTTTCACTTCTAAAGCTCTTTTGTGTTTGGTGTATGTTACCTTTTTTGCCTGTGCTTTATTTCCTTTATTTATGGTTTTATTTTTCAGCACAAAGGTCAACTCTGTTGTTGTTTATAAAAGTGACATTATAAATATGTAGTATGGCAAGTTGTGCTGACGGACAACGATGTCGATGATGGCGCAACTGTCTCCATTGGTCAATGATGATATAGGTTCAGATGCCAAAATATGGAGACTCTTGTCCACCATTAATGCATTCCATTAAGATATTTCTTACTATGATATTCATAATAACATGAATCTGTCTCAATCCATCTCAATATTGCTTCATATTTCATCTCCACATATACTCATTTGTAACAGACATTTCACTGGCGATCCCACATGGGGACAATCAGACCATGGCAATCACCCAACCCCAGAGTTATCTATAGGAAATACTCCTCCATATTTTGGCACATGAACCTATATCATAACTGAGCTCCTGTCTGGGCAGTACAGTGCTGGCAAAAGCTATAAACAAAATAAAAACATGGTATTAGCAAGATCTAAATTTATGAACAACATCCTTGCTTCAGAATCTGACATTACCTACTGCCCTTCTTTTGATGGGAATATAACCCTCCGTGTAGGCACTTAACTTAGGTTCCTGCAGCTTCATGTTAAGCTTGAGTTTCGTAGTATATGGCACAAATTGAAATGAAAGTCTGACAACTCTAATGCAGATGATGACTTTTAGTGCTTGGAAGGATCATGTTACATCAGTGGCGATAAGGGAAATGCTGAATCAGCAGAGTGGTCAATACAAACAGCCAGAAACCAAAATGGATTTACTCTCATCCTCTAAAGTGAGTTATTAGAAGAAGAAAAAAACCCACACAATGTGAACGAGTGTGCCAGAGTGAAAATCATGCCCAGACTTGTATATGAATGAATATTCCCCCAGCATGAAACACATATCCAGGATACCTTTGTGTTTTTATGATAGGTCTGCTCCTGTTAACAAAACCTCTCAATGCTCACCTCTCAATGCTGCTAAAAGTGTACTGGTTCCCTTGCTTGGTCTCAATCTCAAAGTCAAAAGAACGTGTTGTGGTGGTCCCTCTGGCAAAGTTGACACAAGAGATCTCTTCAAAGCGCAAGTGAACAGGGGGCTTGTGGACGTAGATGAAACCCCTTTCCAAAGGATAGAGGAGGCCTGAGGATGCCTTGTAAGAGCAGGTGATGCACTGGGCTCCTGAGTGTCTGAGGAGGAAGAGATCAACGCCCAAAGAGTGACACAGTTATACTTAATTTTGCAAAAGAAAAAGTTTTTGAAAAACAGAAGTATATGAGATGCCTACCCTTGGAAGTTTCCAGGTACTGTGATTTTACGGTTGACCAAGGCCTTCATCACCCTGCTCACCATCTCATAAAGAGATCCTGACATGAACTTACTGAGTTTACCCTCAAAACGACGCTCCACATCTTCTCTGTTACACACATGGGAAAGAACAAAGTTTAAAACCTTAAAATTACATTTTGAGAGTTTCTAAATGATGCAAAGAACTGTTTTTACTGACACTACTGACTCAGACCCTTGGTTCCCCCTAGTGGACACACGCTTTACAACATTATTCTTCAGTCAAAATTAGCTGAAGCCAATCTAGGTCTAAATGCACTCACTCGCTCATGTTGAGGGTTAGGCTAACATCTTCTTCCTTGGAGAAGAGCAGAATGAGAAAGTGATAACGTGTCTGACCCTGCTTGATAGGAGGATCCAGACTGATCTATAAAGAAAACAAAAACGCCACAAAGAGAAAGGAGGTCAGAAAATGGGAGCATTAAATGCTAACACTGTCAACAATAAAAGTCACACAGAAAAGTTCACATACCACAAAGAACATCTGCCTCTGATCCTTGTGTGGCAGCAGGAAAAGACGGAGGACGGTGGTGTAGGGAATCTTGTAGTCGAACGTTTTACCGTGCAGGTGAAGAAATGTCGGGTAGATACGGATGTCATATCTGAAGAAAGGAAAATTAACTGGTTAACTCCTAATGTGAATAACTAACTAATGTGAATCATATAGTGAGTTCATAAGTGTGACTTCATGAAAGTGCAAGGTTTATGCACGCTTTATCCAAATATACAAAGACCATTTTATTATTAGGTATATCAGCCTAACTGCTTGTTAACTCCAATATCTGAATAGCCAATCACCTGGCAGCAACTCAATGTACTTCTGCATGTAGACAATATCAAGATGACCTGCTGAAGGTCAAAGGTTAAAAAAAACAACAATTCCCTGGTGTGGTTGGTCTCAATTTCTGCTGCGACATTTGGGCGGTATGGTCAAAATTTGGTGTAAACAACCTTTAAGAATGGATCCAGTCTGCCAGTTCAGGCTGGTGGTAGTGTAACAGTATGGGAATATTTTCTTTGTACAATTTGGCTCCCTTAGTATCAAGTATGTTCAATATAGTGATAAACTGGCCAATTTTTGGTTTAAAATCAAATCAGAAAATTGGTAGGTGACTGGATTTGGGTGCTCAAATGTCAATCTTTTACCTTCCTCTGGGTGTAAGACACTGCAGCTCTTTGAAGATACACACAGCGTCTCCTGTAGCCTGGATCACATCAGCCTTAGATAACACATTCTGGGCAAATGCCTGAATGAAAACACACAGTTTTAGAACTACTGTAACCAAAAACAAAGAAAAGCATAAAAAAACCAAACAAACAAAAAAGCAGAAGTAAAGCATCCTTTGTCACCTCCACGGGGTCTTGCCGTTCATCAGACTGACTGGGTGGGACGTAGAATCGGACCTCCATAAGGGAGACTTCTGTGTCGTCATTCTGGTGAAACTCCAGAGTGACTTCGTTCTTCCCTGTGGCACACTGGGAAACGTTGGACAGTGGGATCTCAAACGCTGTGTTGTCATTGACTTCAAAGGATAACAGTGGCCCTGTGAAAGGAAGAAACAAGACAGTTAGGAGAGAAACAACTGACCTCGTCTTTAGAGCTCTCCGAGTTGATGTTAAACAGCAAACTAATCTTAAATTGACTGCTGACTTTCACCTCACTTATCATCACCAATATTTCAGACATTATTAGTGCAGTGATTCTGAAAAATTTACCTGAAAACTTGGCTGTTCCCCAGTTCCAGCCCTTCACACACATGTCCTTCTCCGTCAGCTCCACCTTGTAGTTGGCCTTGAAAAACTCTGAAATCTTCTCCAAGTCCTGGTGGGGTGAGCAGAAAGAATAACAGTGGGAAAAAAGGTTGACAGAAGAGAAAGAGGTGAAAACAAAAGGAAGAGAAAGCCTCAAAGTTAGCAATGCAGTCAAAGCACTGGCTCCACATGGGTCAAAGCTTATAAAAACACCACCTAAGAAGAAGGAGGAATGGGATAATTAATCACAACGCAATTGTAACTATGTCCGCCATTTGGGCCTCTTAGGAACACAGGAGGTGAATGTAATCCATCCACCCTCTCTGTCTTCTTTCCCTCTACACCACCACTGACAATCAGCCTGTTTATTTATCCTGCAGGACCCCTTACAACTGGAAAGAAATCACACAGAGCGACAAACACATGGTCAATCACACACTCTCTCTCTCT